TCAAGTCCCCATTAAGGGTGTCTGTCTGTCTGCGTACATGCATGCACGCGTGTCCCCGAGGAACTGCCTGAGCCCCACGGGTGGGACTGTGCCTGGCATTCCAGTTTAACTGGGAGCTGCCTCTGCCGCCTTTTCCCCAAGGGCAACGCTCCTCTCCGCCATGCTCACAAGAGCATCCTTCTGTTGGTGCTCCAGACCTATTTCTCTTTCCCAGGAGAGCAGCTCCTGCTGCCCCCCCAGGTTCCAGCTGGCTCTGCCCTACACCCTGGCTTGGTAGGTAGAGTGCAAGGGAGCCTGCGGATGGCCAGGGGGTGGTGGTGTCCCCGGCCCTCCAGGGCCCCTCCCCAGAGATTTCCCTTTGCCTCCCAGGTTGCTCCCTTGCCTGGTAGTTGTGGCCCTGATGGTCCTAAGCAGAGGGCCCCTGAGTAGCGAGGCCCTCCTCCAGCCTTTGCCCCAGGCAGGCCAGGACCCCTCGGGGGCCTCCTCCAACGTCTCCTGCTCCAGGTGGGCTTCTTCCCCTCCCCTGGGTCTCAGAGGGTTAGGGTGGGTCCTGGGCTGGGGACCCTTCTCACCTTCCTCCTTCCCCTTGCAGCTGCCTGATGCTCATCCACCTCTCCCACAACTCCTGCTCTAAGGTATGTCAGCCTTGGGCCAGCTGCGTCCTCCACTCTCCCTCTGTGTTGAGCCGGGGTGGGGGTCTCAAAGCATCCCTGGCCAATGATGGCCAGAGAAGGGGCAGCCTCCATTGCCCCAGGCAGTTGGCGTCACTGGTTGGTTGCTGTTATGAGCTGGAAATGCCTCCTCCTCCTCCTCCTCCTGGGACTTCTAAGTAAAACGGAGGCTGGGACTGATGGCAGGGGGGTGAGCAGCGGATTAGTAGACCCGTAGACCCCCGTTTTGTCATTCCTCTCCGAGATGCCCCTCAGGGGGTCCAGGCAGTTGCAAGGCGAGAGTCTCCAAGGGGCGACCCCCCCTTGCTCAGGTTGCGGCTGTTGCCTTTCAAAGGATGCTGGGTCTGCTTGCTTCCTTTCCTGCTCCCTTCCTTTGGGAAATGGCTCACGGCCTTTTGGCCATTGCAAACCTTTGCATCAACCAATCCCAGAGAGCCCTGGGAAAATCCCCCCCCCCCATAGTTAGCAAAAGGAGGTTTAAAGGCAATTTTGAGGAAGTAAAATGTATAGGTGAACATAGGTGGGTTGTTATTTCCCGTTACCCTCAATGGTGACATTGGGTCTGAAATGAGGAGGAGGAGGGGTCCGTTTGTGGAAAAGAGATGGGAGGACGAAGGGGTTGCTTGTTCTGCTTTAAGAATGAGGAGTAAAATACTGAGGGCATATTTGGGATACGGGGAATATAAGGGTGTGTATGTATGTAGATAGATGGATAGATATGGATATAGATATATACACACACATGTACACACACACGTGTAGATTTTCACAGGTGGTAGGTATGAAGTTCTCGGCGTATTCGGGTCTTTTCCCGTGTAAGATTGACAGTATCTTGGCGACGTTTCGATGAGGTCCCACTCGTCATCTTCAGGCTGGTGCCTTTGGCTT